CTTGGCTCTGCATGAAATTTCCTATCAGTAGCTGTGTGATCTATGGGAAGTCACTTCATCTCACTGGGTCTCATGTTCCCCGTCTGTCAAATGGTGACAAATCTATTTATATAATAATTATGATAATTCTATAAAGAATGCAAGGGCCAGAGTCTTACAGACTGTGGATTGTTCTCTATTATTGTCCTCTATGTAATGGTTATATGAATAACTTGTGATCATTTGAAAATTATGTCCAAAGTCTATTTCAAGGAGGCTGAGCATGTTCTGTCTGCTCAGTTTCTTTCCTTACATATTGGTAGTGCCAACCAAGACCAGAGTGAGCAGAAGGGACTGAGGGCCCTATTATATTAGCAAGATGGCACTCCACTTTGTGTTCTCAAATGGGTTGGATTTCAGACATGGTTCCTGTTATGGGTTAAATTAGCTCCCATTCAAGTTCTAGCCCTGGGCACCTGTGCATATGACCTTATTTGGAAATGGGTTAAGATGAGGTCTTTAAGTCCTTATAAGAAAAGGGACATTTGGATATAGACACATATATAGAGAGAACACACAAAGATACATGTTGAAGGCCAGCGGGGTTTGCAGGAGAACCAACCTCATCTAAGGTTTTCAATCACTGCAAAGTATCATTGTGTTTTAGAGCCAAGCTGCTAGCTTGTCTCCTAGACTCCACTCTTGCAGCCAACCAGAAAATGCTGTCCTAGTGAAGGAGGTGTGCCTTCTGTTGGACACATAAATGAATCATATTAATCAATGCATATGTATTATTTTGAAAATTTACTATTTGGCAACTACCATAGTAGTTGATTCAGGCAAGAGTCATAAATGGATCCTAAAACAAATAAGTGAACGTTTTATGGGAAGCATAATATTTATGTACTCTCTAAGTATCATCCCACATATTAGTTATTAAGTACAAAATGAAAAAAAAAGTATATTTATAGGAAAGACCTGGCAGACATCATCTTAACCAAAGTAATCAAAGTTAACACCACCCACAATCATGTATCTTTTTATGTTTTACTCTTGCTATAAATGCATAACTTCTCATTATGAGGGCACATCAGGCAAACCCAAATTAAGGGATGTTCTACAAAATAACTGGCATGTACTCTTCTAAAGTGTTGATGTAATGAAAGGCAAAGAAAAGTTGAAGACTATACCAGATTTAAGGAGACTTAAGAGAATTAAGAGACATGACAACTAAATTCAATGTGTGATCCTAGAATGGATCATGGACCAGAAAAATAAAATAGCAATGAAGGACGTTCTTGGGACAATTAACAGAATTTAAATATGATCTGTATATTATATAATAGTGTACAGTATCAATGTTATATTTCTTGAACTTGTTAACTTTACTATGTTTATATTATGCAATGTCCTTGTTCTTTGAAACACATTGAAGTATTAAAGGGCAAAGGGAAATAATGTCTGTGACTTACTCTCTAAACTGTTTCAGAAAAAAAGTATGTGTGTGTGTAGGGGGGAAGAGAGAGAGAGAGAGAGAGAGAGAGAGAGAGAGAGAGAGAGAGAGAGAGAGAGAGAGAGAGAGAGGGAGGGAGGGAGGGAATGAGTGATAGGTAACAAGATGCTAACAACATGAATCTTTGTAAAGGGTGTGTGAAAGTTCTTTTGCTATTTTTGTATACAATTTTCAGGAAACTTGAAAGTATTTGAAATTTTAAAAAACTAAATATATTATTTTTAGCATTTAACTATGTGCCCGATGCCATGTAAGTGTGAGATATTCATAGGAGAAGATAGGGTCTCTGTCCTTAATCCAGGAGTTCACAGTCTGGGGTGCACTGGACAAATAAAGAGGTCAGCACAATTCAGTGTGATAAAGGATGGTGTGAGGGCAGAGAAGAGGTATGCTAAATCCAGACTTTGAGGGGAAAGGGTGTCAGAAGAGGTTCTTAACAGAGAAAACAAAGGGAAAGCTTAAAGTTTAGTGAACTAATTACGTTTGGGGTGTCAGTGGAACGTGCAGGCAGAGCTGAATGACAGAATATGGGACATAGAGATGATGCCTGGGCTATAAGCAACAGGAGGAAGCCACTTGCCAAAGCATGGATTAGCATGTGTCTGGGGTCAGGCCAAAGTCACCATAGCCTCTAAGGTAACATAAACACAGACATCATAAAACAAAAGCTTGAGGCTAAAAGGCTGAACACAATTGTGCTTTTTGATGGTGTGGGTCGAATTTTGTGGTGCTGTATACTGAACATCTCAGAGACACCAGCCCCCAGATTGATAAATATAAGTAACTTGGACAAGGGCATGACCTCCCATATCAGTTAGGATTGCCAATAATAGACTGTGAGGTGGGAAGGGAATGTCAAGTGATCATAAGAAACTAATGAAGTGATTTTTCAAGAACAGGATGAGCTTTACCAGCAATAAGGATAAGGTAGTATCCAATTAACACAACAGGATGGGGAGAGATTGTTGTTAATAGGAAAAATCCTGAGAACAGTACCAGGTCCCATAATAAAGGGAAATCAGTGAGGCAGTGCTGCTGTTTGAGAAGTTGATTGGGGAATGGGAATTTCCACTCAATTATGAGATACAAGAGCCAGGATAAGAAAGTACATGAATGCTCTAGCAAAGGTCTAGTGGGAGGTCATTTTTTATCTTTTATTTGAAAACTTTAATATCGTGGAAAATTTACAAAAATAATGAGAATCGCACTAGCTTAAAACCATGTGAAATTGCCAAAATGACATTTTTTTAAAAGTGAAAAATGGCATTTTCACTTTTCAAATGAAAATGAAGCTCATATCCCATTACCCACCTTCAGCAATTATTGACACATTGTCCATTTCATTTAATCCCAAACCCACCCATTCTTCTGGCAAACTTGAGTGATTTGTAGTAAATCATGATGGGAGTTTTAGTTACTTAATTTTCTCAGTAAGGTATTCAAATGGCTCAAAATTCAAAAGGCACATCACATTGTACACGTTTAGTATATATAACTTTTGTAAATTTACACTTCCATAAAGTTGAAAAAAGGTACAAAAGAATAAGTGAAAAGTCCCCTTCTAAACCCTGCCACCTAGCCAACAGCTCTCCCTCATTGGAGACAACTAATATTGTTTTAGGTCTTTTTTAATGTATCCTTTCAAAGATGTTTTATGAATAAGTTAGCAAAGAGATTGCAAACTACTCACAATGATCTGCACTTTGCTTCTTTCACTTAGCAAAATATTTTGGAAATTCTTTTATATCGACACATAAAGAGCTTCCTCTTTTTTTCAGGTTACATAGCATTCCATTTTTTTTTTTTTTTTTTTTTTTTTTTTTTTTTTTTTTTAGCCATACTTGAATCAAATCACTGTGACGAACTTTTAGGCCGTTTGCAATCTGCTGCCATTACAGACAGTGCTGCTATAACTTACCTTACACATTCATCTTGCACGAAAACAAGCAAGTTTATTTGTAAGAGAAACTCCTCAAAGAGGAATTGCTGTTTGAAAGGGAATGTGCATTTGTAATTTTAATAGATATTGCCAAATTGCCCTCCATCAGGTAGGAGTTATTTTAATGCTGTCTTTGCCCTTTTATCACTCCCAGTTTCCTTGCTACTTTTTTTCACTTACTCCCGGGGGCCCCCAGGGGGCCACCTCAATATACAAACTCAGAAGCACTCATCCCTCTCACCTCAGCCTTCTATGGGTATCCTTCTACTACTCTCTGGCCCCCACAGCCACCAGCCTGTTTTTCTTCCCCTCTCTTTCCCCAGAGGTCATGTGTAACATGCTGTTTTTCTTTCTTCCTCCCAAGTCACCTCATGATCGGTCGTTTTACCATGCTAGTGTTGACCTTTGGACTTACTCTCCCATGACATTCTGTAGCACCTGCTGTGCCAATCCTTGGCCCTTTGAAAACTCCACCATCCATTCTATCCATCCTCCATCCTCCCTCTGCTCCCAGGCTGCTAACTTTTGCTGGAGAAGGTCATGAGCTGGCTATACAACAAAGCCAGGACAGCTAGCCTCAGCAGGGCCCCAAGGGCTGGGAGGCAATCCTTTCATATACTTGTATTGAATTTCTCTCAGGGATTGTTCCAAATCCTCCCCCTCTCCTCAGGTCCCTCGTCATACCCTCAACCCAACCCCTCAGTGGAGGGTCTAGTTGTGGATATCAATGCCAGAACACAGGCCACCTAACAAGGGTTTCCTCAATTCTTTCTTTATCTTGTCCTTCACTGTTTCTCTGCATTTTTGCTTATGCCTGCTCATCCTGCATCCCTCAGCCTCATGGGAACCAGGGGACTTTCCTCCTCAAGGTTACCTCTTCCAATTGTGACCATGACAGTAGGTTTTTTTTGTCTTCTGCACTTACTCTAGGACTATCCTCTTCCCCTCTGGGCAAGCTCTCCCCACCCATTAGTTTTTTCTCTCAGTGGAAAAACATTTTCCCTTGTGCCATTGTTCCATATTACCATCAAACTTTAAAATTACACAACTAATTCATACCTGCTGACTTCACTTACTTCTTCCCAGTCAGCCCCAAAGCTTAACAGAAAAGTCAGGAAATAATAAGCCAAAAGAAGAAAATAAAACCACCCACAACCCCACATCCAAACTGTTAATATTTTGATGTATTCCTTTCCAGTCTTTTTATATGCACATATAAACATTTGTATATCTATATATATTTTTCTTACAAAAGTGGATCATAGTGTACATCCTGTTATAATTTATTTCAGACATTTCAACTTTGCTATGAGTTGTCTAACCATGGCTATGTAGATTAAGTTCACTGAGTCCATTTCCTCCTGTGTAAAATGAGGACTATTTTAAGTAACTACCTCACAGGGCTGTTATGAGGATTGAATGAGATAAAAATACATAAAAACACATCACAGTTCTTGACACATAGCAAGTTGAATTAATGTTAGCTATTATGATCTTCCCACGTCAATAAATATAGCTCTACATAATAATTTAATGAGTTCTGTCACTGCTGTATCTAATAGGCGTGACTAAAGCACTGCAGTGACTCACCAGCACATATTCATTTGGCACACGAACAAGTTTCTCTGTGGGATAAACTCCTAAAAGCAGAACTGCCACTCCAAAGGCTATGTGCATTTGTAATTTTGATAGATATTGCCATGTACCCCCTGTCAAGTGGGAGTTACCATGATATCTCTAACTTATTCTTTAAGGCTGCTTGATATTTTTCACTAATACAAACCCAAACTATGAAAAACATTCTTACAACTAAATCTTTGCGTAGGACCATGATTATTTATCAGGGCAGAGGAAAGAGTATGAGTAAATGTTGAGATAGGGGAGCAAATAATGTGCATGGGAAACCACTCATACCGGTGACACATAGAGAGGAGAATGACAAGAGGTGAGGCTGAAAAAGACAGACGAAATTCTGAAAGACTGTGAATGCCTCCATTATTTATTAATTCAGTCACCACATACTTAGTGACCACCTACAACAGACCGCACTAGTTTATTTTTTAAAATATATTTTATTGATTTTTTACAGAGAGGAAGAGAGAGGGATAGAGAGTTAGAAACATCGATGAGACAGAATCATCCATCTGCTGCCTCTTGCACACCTCCTACTGGGGATGTGCCCCCAACCAAGGTACATGCCTGTGACCGGAATCGAACCTGGGACCTTTCAGTCTGCAGGCCAATGCTCTATCCATTGAGCCAAACCGGTTTTGGCCAGACAGCAGTAGTTTAGACACTTTGTTTGCTTAGTGAACAAAAAAACAGTAAGAGGTTTCTGCCCTGGAGGAGCTTATGTTCTAGCAGAGAGATGAACAATAAAAATAACTCAACTATAAAAAATGTTAGAAAATGATAAGACCTATAGGATAAAGAAAAAGTAGATTGGATTAAAAGAAATTAAGAAGGCTGGGAGTGGGGAAAGTTAATAATAATTAATATTTATATTGTACAGTGCAATAGTAAGTAGAGTGGCTGCTCCATTATGGAGTTTGAACTTATTCTAGCCATGCAGAATCATTGGAGTAGCCATTTACTTACAGCATCACCATCTTTGCCATATCCACATACATCCTGACACCTGGTGTCTAATGATTTTTGTTAACAAACTTACCAAGCCCTATGTTAGATTAAATTTATTTCATTTTTTCAAATATATTTTTATTGATTTCAGAGAGAATGGGAGAGGGAAAAAGATATAGAAACATCAACGATGAGAGAGAATTGTCGATTAGCTTCCTGCATGCTCCTCACTGGAGATCGAGCCCACAACCTGGGCATGTGCCCTGATTGGGAATCAAGCTATGACCTCTTGGTTCATAGGTCAATGGTCACCACTAAATTATTTTTATTTATTTATTTTTTTAAATTATATTTTATTGATTTTCTACACAGAGGAAGGAAGAGGGATAGAGAGTTAGAAACATCGATGAGAGAGAGTCATCGATCAGCTGCCTCCTGCTTGCCCCCTACTGGGAATGTGCCCGCAACCAAGGTACATGCCCTTGACCAGAATCGAACCTGGACCTTTCAGTCCGCAGGCCGACGCTCTATCCACTGAGCCAAACTGGTTTTGGCACCACTAAATTATTTTAAAGGAAGCTTTATAACACCAACATAAATAGAAATTAAGTATTGTATGCAATGAAGCTCCAGAAAAGAAGACTAGAGAATAACTAGGACTGGCCTCTTTCTTTCAGAAACCAGCTTGCAAATAAGAAGAATAACAGCAAGCCATTTTCAAATTCTGTGCTTATTATTTCTCAAGTAGCTTAGTGTTTTACATGTAGCTGAAATTTAATCTTAACAACTTTATGAAGTAGGGACCATTATTGTACCCGTTTGTTTAGGAGGAACTTGAGCAAGTGATTAACCCTCCACAGCTCCAATGTCCTCCCAAATAAATGGGGCAATAGCCCGGACCAGTTTGGCTCAGTGGATAGAGCGTCGGCCTGTGGACTGAAGGTCTGAGGGCATGTACCTTGGTTGCAGGCACATCCGCAGTAGAGAGTGTGCAGGGGGCAGCTGACAGATGTTTCTCTCTCATTGATGTTTCTAGCTCTCTGTCCCTCTCCCTTTCTCTCTGTAAAAAAAATCAATAAAATATATATTTTTTAAATGGGACAATAATGGGGCTATAGGAGAGTAGGATCCATGGCTTCTGCCCACTCCATGCCATTCTTGGAGGACAAGAAAGGGACAGAAGCTCCAAGCTACTTCATTCTCTGACCACTACCTCCCAAATTCCAATGATTAAGATTAGAACTATAGTACTTCTTTAGACTAAACCCCCACCCCCATTAAATTTGTTGGTCACTTTAATTTTCCTGTGAAATTTAAACAGAATGTTCAAATTTATTTCAGACTTGATAGAATAGAAGTTTAATAATGCACCTTAGGAGCATCGGTCCTGGCTTCTTTCGGAAGAGGGCAGACATGGGCAGATTTCAGTGGGAAGGAGAGGGTTGGCACTTGGGGAGCTAGAGGGAAAGAGGCAGCAGAAAGTAAGGTAGGAAGAAATGAAAGACAAACTGTATCAACTTCAGTTGTCTTTAATTCAAGTCCCTCGGAGAAAAGAAGCAAAATATAGTAAATAATACATTGTTAGAGAGATAGTGCCTAGGCTCTGTTAATGTTCTCTCAAAGCATACCACTGCTATTCAAACTTCCTGAGAAATGTGCTTTGTTTCTTTTATTTTTTCTTTTTTTAAAATAAGTCATTTGACCAGCCATCATGGCTCAGTGGTTGACCATCGACCTATGAACCAGGAGGTTACAGTTCAATTCCTTGTCAGGGCACATGCCTGGTTTGTGGGCTCAATTAGGAGGCAGCCGATCAATGATTGTCTCTCATCATTGATGTTTCTATCTCCTTCTCCCTCTCCTTTTCTCTCTGAAATCAATAAAGATATATTAAAAAATACAAGTCATTTTCCTTTAATAGAAAATAAAATGGGACTTTGAACCACTCAACTGAAGACATTTGAACCAGAAATATGTCTTTCCCTGGTTTCATTTAACACTGAATAATGAGAATTCCGCAAAGTCACACAGATGAACCCAGGTTCCCTGGAAAGCTTACAAACAAGAGAAGTTCAATTTAATATAGAAACCCTGGATTGTAAACACTAGTGCTGTCCTTCAATATTTGATTTATAAAGGGAAGATGAGTCATTGTATACAGTAAATAAGATTTTAAATAGCTTAGAGAAAATTGGAGACTAAAGAAAACTTCTCATGGAAACAAACAAAAAAAAAATCTAGGAGCAGAAGGAGTTAGGATCGTGGGTGCAGAGCAGGCATCGCCCAATGATCCCACATAGCCCATAAATGTAATGTATTATGTGGGTAATGTGTCATAGAAAAAAACAGTATTGGATCTGATTGGTGCAGACCATCTATAACGGGAAAGAAATCTTCAAAGGCAAGCATAATACCCCTGGTTTACACAATTTAGGAAAGGAGACATCAAAATCCTTTAGTTGATAGCCTGGTGAATGTAAATGTAGGATCTCAAATCCAAAACATTGTTTAAATGAACTAGTGTATGTGAACTACATAAATGAACATGCATTGCTGGTGGGAATATAAAATGGTAAAATCACTTTGGAAAACAGGCTGGCAATCTATACTAATAAAAGACTAGGTGGAGCACATGCATGATATTGTCACAAGATGGCCACATGCACAGAGGCAGGGCCTGGTGGCTGCTCCGTGTGATTAGACCTGGGGGTCCCACAGCTCTGCACAGAATGGAGGAGGCTGGTCCCGGCAGAGGAGGCAGGTAGTGGCAGGGAAGGGCAGTTGTGGGTGATAGGGCCAGCAGGGGAGCAGTTAGGCACCGATCAGGCTGGCAGGGGAGTGGTTAGGGGGCAATCAGGCTGGCAGGCAGAATCAATTAGGGGCAATCAGGCAGGCAGGCAGATGAACAGTTAGGAGCCAGCAGTCCCAGACTGTGAGAGGGATGTTCCAGATTAGAGAGGGTGCAGGCCGGGTTGAGGGATACCCACTCCCCATGCACGAATTTCATGCACCGGGCCTCTAGTTTCTTATAAAGTTAAACATGCATTCATCATATAATATAGGTATTTACTCAAGAGAAATGACAACACACATCCACACAAAAGCTTAAACACAAATATTCATAACAATTTTATTCAGAATAGTCCCCAGTTGGAAACCCAAATGTCCATCAAAAGTTGAAAGAATAAACAAATTGTGCAATATATGTACAATGAAATACAACTCAGCGATAAAAATTGAACTACAGCCGAAACTGGTTTGGCTCAATGGTAAAGCATCGGTCTGCGGACTGGAAGGTCCCAGGTTCGATTCCGGTCAAGGGCATGTACGTTGGTTGCGGGCACATCCCCGATTGGGGGGTGTGCAGGAGGCGGCTGGTCGATGTTTCTCTCTCATTGACGTTTCTGGCTCTCTCTCTCTCTCCCTTCCTCTCTGTAAAAAATCAATAAAATATATTTTTAAAAAAGTTGAATTACAGATATAGGAAGCAACATGAATTTATCTCAAGGATGTTCTAAGCAAAAGCAATATTATATATATATATATATATATATATATATATATATATATTACAATATATATTATATGATTACAAATATATATTTCTATAAAAGAGAAAGCTAATCTATAGGAGTAGATTACAGTTTACAGATTACAACAGTAGGTTTACAGTTGTGAGTACATGAAACACAGAGTTTATTCTTACAACATTACAATCATAACCTGCATGCCTTTTTTTACATACAAACAACTGTAAACCTACTTTTGCCCAACCTTGTATAGTGATGAAGAAAAGGAAATCAGTGTAATCTGGAGCCAGCAGTGGGGATGAACAACATTAACTACAAAGGGGCAGTAGACATTTTCTGTGGTAACGAAAGTGGTCTATATCATTTTAAAAATATTCTCATCTGCCCTAGCTGGTTTGGCTCAGTGGATAGAGCATAGGCCTGTGGACCAAAGGGTCCCATGTTCAATTCCAGTCAAGGGTGCTTA